TTTATATGTTGTGCATGTATGCTTGTGAAAGGGAGGAAATATGGTTCATGTGATGGTTTATGATAAACCTCAGTTATTAATTCACCTCCTCTATTCACAAATCTAACGTCAAGGTACTCTGCGGTCTGTCTTATGGATTCTGAGAATTTGATATTACTATCAAGTCTATTCCAAAAATTTACAAGACCTTTTAATATATCCGCATGTACGTTTGACACGATAAATAGATCATCAATGTATCTATAGTATAATGAACATGTCCTATTAGCCCATTTTGAGATAGGACGTTCCACAAAATACATATATGCATTAGCTATTGTCAGGGTCAATGGAGAGCCCATAGCTCCTCCACGTATTTGTTTATAATATGACCCATCTAAATAGAAATAATTATTGGTCATAACAAATCTGGTAAGAGCTAATATGATCTCTTTTTTAACACCATCGATTTGTTTTAATCCAGATGCTTCAATCAATCGTTTTATGGCTGTTACTCCTCCTTCTTGAGGAATCATTGTATATAAATCAGTAACATCCATTGTTATGAAAGATGTGGCTGGTGTAAGATATTTAGCCGACCATCTCTCAACTTGTTTTATTAATTGAACCCCATTCAATATAGCTGTTTCAGATGCTAATCGATCGAATAGAGGTCTTAATAAACCATCTAACCATTTCGATATGGCAATGGTTGGAGATTTGAGACCAGACATTATAGGTCGTAATGGTGTTCCTGGTTTATGTGCTTTTGGTAAGAAATAAAGGTGGGCTAATTCAGCCTCTTCTTGATTAACCTTTAATTTTTCATATTGTTTTTGTGTAATATGTTTATTATACCATAAACCATAAAGAAACTTATTTGTACGTTCAACTAAAGATTCAAGTGGGTTTATTGTACCCAAATCTTGATAAGCTTCAGTCTGAATCATATATATTTGAGCCTTCACTTTATAGTCATCCAGCTTTCCTAAATGAAAAACTTTAGACTTATCTGTCTTTCTGATGACTGTTTGTGTGGCTTCAAATTTATTTCTTAAATTATTGATTTCTTTCAATTGAATAGATGGCGGATGTCTTCCATGACAATCAGTTAAGATCTTTTCGAGCGAGTCTATGAAGATCTGTATTCGTTGTTTAGGTAGTATCCATCCATGTTCAATGAATATCTTATCTATCTTTTTTATAACCAACTCTATCTCAGTTCTCATACGTTTATGAGCAAGATGAGGGTTATTCGGAATATATTTAGGGCCTAATTTCAGGAGGGCCTCTTCTCTCCTATTCAAATTTATATCAGATTGATTTATTATACTCGGAGCAAAAAATCCATTCGCATCACTGGATTGAGATCTTTCGGCTCTTGTGTTCCTACTGGCGTCTCTTGGACGCCTCGTTCGGATAAAAAATGCACTTCTCTTTCAATTTCTAATTGAGCTCTTTTATGTGCAATTACAATATATTTTTTAAATAATTCAGAACCTTTTTCATTATTTATAGGTTCTTGTCGTTGTGATAATGGTTTTTGAGTAAAAACTCTATTATCTAAAGGTTCTTGTCGTTGTGATAATGGCTTTTGAGTAAAAACTCCATTATCTAAAGGTTCTTCATCATCATCATCAATTTGTGTTGATGGTACTTCATATCTATCTTGTGGAAAATCATCAATAAGATTTTGTAATCTTTCTTTTTGAAATTCAAATTCTTGTTTGACGATTTCTAGATAGAGTTCTGTTGCTTTAAGTCGAAAATCTATTGATAAATTATTTATGCTTTTTCTGTATTCCTGGGTCTGTTCACTTGTAAGTGAATTTTCGTCCACAGGAAGATTAAAGTCATAATGTGGTAAGATTTTCGGTATTATATCATTTGATATATGAGCAGCTACCAATTCAAATCTTTTCTTTTTCTTATGGTAGCTATTCAATGTCGATTTACAAAAGGTTTTAGCGTACATTTTTTGTTGTTCTGATGCAACATTTTCAAATGTTTTTAGAGCATCCCATTCGTCTTTTTCAATTGAAGCACGACGAATTCTATTAATGCTCATATTTGCTAGACCTTGTGTAGCTTTTAATGTAATCGAGCATAAGATCATGTGCTCGTTTTGTAGCAGCAGTGGCTGTTTTAGATGAAAGTTCTCGCATATTTCGTGCCATTATATTATTAGCATCGAAACATGTCGATGTCAATTGTGCTAATTTCTTCTCGCACATTGACATATTTATCTTAGCCTCCCGTGTATGTGTTATATTTACGATTTCTTTAGCCCAATGATTTTTTTCTTTGCCTAAATCATAGATATGTTGCCATACCTGGGCTTCATAATGATTATGTACCCAACTATCATATGTTTCAATGGTATTCTTTGCATATTCACAAACTTCATTGAAAACATCTTTAAAGTCGAGTTTTATTTTATTCTCTTTATTCACACGATCTTTTAGATAAGCGAGGATTTTAAAAGTCTGTAAATAACTTTTACATTTTCGTTTATCTTTATTTGAAGCAGGTGATTTTTCATTATTATTATAATTTTCTTCTTCTTTTTCAGAATCAGAAAAATTTATTTGACGCTGGTTATTTCCTCGCGTCTTTGTATTATTATTAACAACATGTTCATCAAATTCATCGAATATGGGAACTTCTGTTGTTGTTCTAGCTTGTCTTTTTTGTTTTTTAGACAAGTTTTTCTGTTTCATCTTGTTATTATTATTATTATTCTTATTTTTCATGGCTTCAGTTTTATGATCAGCCTCTGAATTATCAATTATATGTTCATTATTGTTGTCATCATCTACTTCAGATAGAAGACTAAATCGATTATTATCATTGAAAAAACGTAATTTATTATTATTATTTTTTTCAAGTAAAACTGCTCGTTGTTTTTGACGCCGTGCTCTTCTACGAAGTGTGTCAAGATGAGCTTTTTCAGGTGATTTTTTGGTTTTTTCTTTTTCACCTTTATCATTTATTTGATCTGGTTTATCACCACGATATCCTTGCCAATTTTCTGGCATAAAATGAACTAACCGACGTTGTGTCGGTTTTTTTGTTATTTTTAGAATACCACGTCTTTTTGAGGGTATTACTGCATCATCTTTATTCTCTTTATATTGTACTTGGTTTAAAAAACGAGGAACCTCAGTAGTCAACATGGTATTATCAATAGGATAATAGAATGGTGGTGGTTGTAAGGGCATCTGTTGTTGCCCATTTTTCCAACTTCCTCTACCTCCCATCCAGTTATTTTGAAATTGCCAATTTACTGGCATATTATATAAATCAAAACCATATGGTTGATAAACCATAGGTTGTTGTTGATAACCATACTGATATTGTTAACTTTAAAAAAAAATTTTTTTAAGTAGTTGGTTATTCTTATTCAGATATAACCTCTCTCTAATGAGTTAACACTACTCTCGAGATGTTAAAAAAAAAAAAGGAAAAAGTTTTTTGTGTTTTTGTAAATGTTTTATTGACTAGTTTCTGTGTGATTTCAACCACACGTCATCAGAAAACCACAACAAATACCACAAAAAACTTTATATAAAAAACAAGAAACAAACAACAAGAAAAAATCTCATGGTCTAATGGACCGATAAGATTGAAAAAGAACATTAGATGGTCGAATGGACCTCTCTAATTTTGCATGAAACACGTATAAAAGAAGAACGACGCCATTTTGTATAATCTTGGACCAGAAAACACCATGCATATCACCAACATCGGAAGAAGAACCTTGTTTTAGTTGATGGTTAATGGTTGTGTTGTTTGTTAGCGGTCTCGTGATTGCACCAAACGCCGATATTATTGTGTAAAAAGAATAAAGAGAAAGTGTCCTAAAAAGATTAGGAACTCCTATGTTAGAGAAGTGTTCTAAATCTAATAGAACTCCTATGTTCGAGAAGTGTTCTAAAAATGATTAGAACTCCTATGTATGATAAGTGTTTCAAATATACAACAAGTATGTATTTCATTTAATTCTAAATACTGATTTATCTGGTTTCTTTCTGACCAGATAATCTTGAAGATTATTCAATCTTTTAGAACCTACAATTGGTTTTTTTATTACAAATGGCTGTCTCTGAAAAACAATCGTTCCAGAGTTGATGAAATCTGGTCGGAAAATCTTGCATTCCTTTCGAAAAAGAGAAATGACAAAAAATATTGACCTCGAAATCAATTTCAGCCTTCTTTTCATGATTGTCTGCGGCATTCAAAAAAATTCTTCTTATTTCAGAATAATTCTTTTTTGTTGGCACCGCACATTGAAATGTTTGAAAAACTCTTTCAAATTGTTCCAGAACAAATTTTATTGGATATTTATTTAAAAGTAATGCCATACATATATGAGTTTCTTCACGTTTAAATATATCATAACTCGAAGAATATCTTATTGCTCGAACAAGAGCTACATAA